TGTTTATACATGCATATACACATTTATGATTGAAATGGATAGATATAAACTAATACTACACAAATATGCTTTGTATTTGCATATATTAGATATGTATATGTGTGTGTATCTTGACTCAGAATCTAGTGCATTAATTGCTAGATCTGTTTTCATCTGTGCAAATTCCTTTGGAAAATGTTCTTGTTTCAGAATATTCTTTTATTACAAAAAGAACCCCTTCCTTTGCTATGATTCCTTTTCGATAGGCAATAAGCAAGCTTCTCTAACAGATGGCACTTCACTGGTTCCTCTCCTCCTCTCCACTCCCCATGTCATTATTTATTTTTAAGGAATCAGAAAATAAAATAGGATGCTTGTGGCTTTGCTCCAGTTGTGCTAGCCAAATCAGGAAACCTTGTGTCCCTTTACAGCTGTTTTGGATATTCATTTAATAGCCAAATTGAAGTTTATTCTTGGCTGAGAACTTCTGAAAGAGTTAGAGTGGAGAGCAAAATTGCAGTATTCAGTTATCTCTAGTGATGTTCTGATGGAACATTTTTCTCATTGCAAAATGCCAGTTCAGGTTTGAGGTGAGAAGGGTTTAAAAAAACACGCAAAAATATAATGTGGTAGAGTTGCATTGAGAAAAGTTGCACTTGAAGGTAAATGTTTGGAATCCATCATACATAATAGAGGAGACAGAGAACAGGAAAAAATATCTAGCAAGTTAACTTTTTTAAAAGTTTCCCAAAACGTGGTACAAAAAATTCCTTATAAAATATGACTAAGCAATACTAGATGCATTAGATATTTTTAATACAATCATGGTTAGTTATATTATAACACAGATATGTTTCAACTGTAGGCAGTAAAGCAAAAAAACAAGTGTATCTCTCACACTGATAAAAGCTTTTGGTCTGCTACCCACACAAGTGTTGCATTGTAATATTCTATTTGGTTTTTCTTTTCAGTATCAGAATGTGTTCTGCCTGTTATTAAGCTGAGAAAGAAACCTTCTTTGTGGGGTATGTGCTGACATTGAGTTTGCATTTTGTTTTTAAGTATCTACTGATACTAAGGGGAAAAAAACCCAACCAAACAAACCTCATCCAATCTGTCTTTCCTCTCTCCTTGCTCTCACATGTACCTTTCAGCCTTCTGCATAGTTGTTTACCAAAGCAGCCTGTCAACACAGCTGATGTTCATTTGTTATCGGTACAGTATTTTATTTTTTTGGTTGCATGAGGCTGATATATTCAGAATTAGTAGAAGTGATTTCTGTGATTTCTTGATTCTGTTGCCTGCTGCAACTACTAGACAGTTCTATCTTCCTAAAAAATCAGTTTGCTTTACAGTGTCTATTTCAAGGTAAATTCATGGAATTAATTATTTCTTAATACCATAAGAAATGTGGAAGATGGGATTGAGTGCACACTTAACAATTTTGCAGATGACACGAAGTTAGGTGCAGATGTAGACACTCTAGAGGATAGGATTCAGAATGGCCGTAATAAACTGGAGAAATGGTACAAAAATCAGTCAAATTAAATTCAAGGACAAATTCAAAGTGCTGTATGTAGGACAGAAGACTTGCATGCACAAATATCAGGGGTGGGCAATTATTTGGGCTGGAGGGCCACTTAGGGAGTTTTGGTGACCTGTTGCAGGCTGGTCAGCAACCCCCCCCCCCCCCCCCCCAACAGCTCACCA